TTACAAATTTGCAGGCGCTCTATAAGGAGGACTTTGAAAAGAACAAGGGGAAAGGTTTCAGCGTGGTGGCCGACACTCCGGAGATGCAGAGAGTGAAGAAGACACAAGACCAGATCAGTCATGTATGTCCGGTTCGCCTCGAAAACCGCAGAGCATCGAATAATCTAATAACACTAAATCTTCAGTTCTTCGTTTCGTCTCTACAGTCATAACAGCTCGTCGAGTTACCTTTTTCTTCATTTCTAGAGACAAGTTTTATGATGTGACTTCTTTCCAACTTCTAACTGTGTATGTGTCTGTGTCTGCACATCTGCATGCACTTTTATAAAAATCTCTTCCTTAACATATAAACGTTCTTGTTAAATCAGCCCTAAGTGGTTTTGATCCAAGGCTGCATTCAGGTTATGTTGAACTTGTGTTGCAGACTGACTCAAGACTAAAACATCACAACAGCCTGTCAGTGCAGTTGTTTCCATTTTGCATAACAAGACTTACAAATAAGTAAAGGAAAGTTTTGCCTCCAAATTGTGTTTGCTCTTGCAAAATACTGGATGTTTTTACCACTGCAGGGCTCTAAAAAATATTAAAATGAAAAATGGCTGTTCATAGACATGTACCCTATAACCAGCAGGTTGCAATTAGACATAACTTGAAATTGAGGGGTCACGAGCAAAAATGGAGACCACTGTCATAATGGAAATAACATACAGGACATGACTTCTTTTTACCGCAAGATGTCATTCAACTGATACAATACACCATATACACAGATTGTAACTCCATGTTTTCAGCTGAAGTGAATGATAAAACTGTGCATGAATTCAAAATATAATAAATCTACTGAACTGTTTCACTCAACTTGTGTAATTTATCATACTTGTCTTGAAGGAATTGTTCGACATTATGGGAAATACGCTTATTTTTTACTGAAAGTTAGATGAGGATATTGGTACCACTCTCAAGTCTGTCCAATATGCTAGAACCGAACCAGCAGCCAGTTAGCTTAGTTTAACATAAAGACTCATCTATTTAATCCATACAAAAACAGAAGTGTAGAACTTAAAAGTTGCGATGTTATCCAGGTCATGTGTCAGACTATTTCTTGGATGGGCCCACTGGCTTCCTGGAGCCTTGGCTGGTTGCCTGGCTAACTCACAGTGACAACAATACTCCAGGAAGTTTTTGAATTAAACAAACAAGATTTTGTTAGAGAAACAAGATTGTGTTAATTTGTGAGTTTTAGTGGTTCTCTTAGGCAGATTTTATTACCTTTGGACAGAGCCAGGCTAGCTGCTTACTCCTGTTTTCCAGATTCTATGCCAAGCTAAGCTGCTGGTTGTAGCTTCATATTTAGCGCACAAACATGAGAGAATTATTAATCTTCTCATCTAACTCTCAGAAAAGGAGCCCAAAATATCGAACTACTTTTTGTTTTTTGACATTTCATTTAACTGTAAATTTCAGGCTCTTTACAAGGAGGACTTTGAAAAGAACAAAGGAAAAGGTTTCAGCGTGGTGGTCGACACTCCAGAGATGCAGAGAGTGAAGAAGACACAAGACCAGATCAGTAACGTAAGTGCAGTCCCCCTGAGAAACATTATTTAATGCTGAGAGTTTTGGGGTTTTACGTGCCCACGTTTAGAGATTTTGCTGAGATTTTCTAGAAACAGTGCCCTAATTTGGGGATTTTGCCAAGCAATTGACATTTGTGTTCATGTCAACTGCTTTCTGTTTGGAAGTTTCTGTTATTTTAGCCTAGCCAACCACTAGCGAGTGTCGTATCCATCCCACTGACGTCATATTCAATCCACTGAGAAGCTGCGGTAGTGGTTGCTAGTTAACATTTTTCAAGATTATTAAGAAATAAGCCAATTTAAGAGTCGTTATTTCTGCAAACTTCCATAAGACTTGTCGCCTTTTTTGTGGCAAGGTATTCTTAATAAGCTCTATATGTAGGTGAAATGTAGACATTGATTCAGAGGTCTGAAACCAGGTTAATTAATCTACAGAACACAAAAGAAATGAGTAGAAAGTAGTTCCAGTGAAAACTGTTGACAGCATGTTCTGTGGATGATCTGCCATAATTGGCACATTGTGTATGAAATGACACACTACAAACAAAATTTCATTAACTTAATTTCACATTGACTTCTGCTCAGAGAAGGAACTAATCCTTAATCTAACTGGACAGTTAAACATCTGGTAGATATCTCACTGTTTTTTCCACTTTAACTGTTCGAAAAAATAATGGAGCGCACAGTGTTTGTTTCCGTGCAGGACAAAAATACAAGCACGACATTGCCAGATGCAAGCAGTAAGTCGAGCCATTTCCCTAAAACACAACAGGAAAGCATCACGGTCCAATAAGCCCTTTCAGAGAAGGATGGTAGTGGACTGGTTCAAAGCCGAGGGAAGAAACTGCTCCACACAGCAGTGAAGGATGTCAGTGCGATCCTGCAGAGACACACAGGCACATTTCAGACATTTCTCTGCGTCCACTGAGGAGCTGCCCTATATGGTCAAAGTCTCTCAGCTGTGGACACAAAGTGAACGTCCGCCCTCTGCTGCGTGCACACACACACACATGCATACAACACTGAAACACACACATGCATGCATACAACACTGAAACACACACACACAAACTTTCTCTTCTGTCTCTCATGAGAGCACTAGTTGCAGAAAGGAATGACGGGTGATAAGCTGCATGTCAAAAGGGCAAAAACCTAGTAACTTCTTTTTCCACTGGCTGCTTTCATTCTTTCATTTTGCCTTTTTTTAGTCCCTCACTCTCCTCCAGTCTTTTTCCCATCATGTCCTCCCTCTTTTTGCTCCTCCTGAGGGCTGTTGAGGTCACAGGGGGCTGATCCTTCTTTTCCTTATTCAACATCCAGTTTCCTCTTCCAGCCTTATTTATAAAGAGGGCTTTACAATCCAAACAGCATAGCTGACATGTATGTACATTTTTACTGGTACATTTCATCTTAGTGTTATTGTAAGATGAGGAAATAAAACCTGAAAACTTAAAATAGACAGGTAGCTCTTTGCTTGAAGTCTTTGACTGTTTGACGGTTGGATTCTGTAATAAAAAACTGTTGCCTTTGTGGCAGAGATAAAACTCTCCATCCTCCCTCAGCCCTCCTAAAGATTGTGAGTTATATACCACAGATCTATGACACGTGTTGTCAAATCTGAGTGTAGCATCCTAATGTGGTTTTAACATGTGTACGTTTTGCTGCCTGTGTGTGCAGATAAAGTACCATGAAGAATTTGAGAAGAGCAGGATTCGAAGTGACGCACCTCCTCCTGAAAATAGACAAGGTAAGGCACATACTGAGACAGACTCATCTAAATAACCATGTTTGACTGTATATATATATGTATATTAACTGTGTGTGTGTGTGTGTGTAGACTATGAAGAGCAACCCAACCCTGAGAGATTCAGTCAGCCGGTCGGACAAATGCGTCCTGCTGCTGTAGCACCACCTAGTGGAGTGGTAAGGCTAATACATACAATACAATATACGGCCAAAATTACATGGACACCTGAACATTACACCCTACGATATTAGAACATTAATCTGCTTATATTAACTGCTTCTTCTGGGTTGACTTTCCACAAGATTATGTAACCTTAGTGAGGGGATTTGCTCCCATTTAGCGATTCACTGAGCGATAAGGTCTGGCTGACTAGACCTTCAGCATTTGAAATCATCCCTAAGGTGTTGGATGGGGTTGAGGTCAGGGCTCTGTGCAGGTCAGTAAACTTCTTCTACACAAAAAGCTGTTGCCACACAGTTGGAAGCACAACGTGGTCTATATTCATTGAGTGCTGTAGCACTAACATTTGTGGTAACTGGAACTAATCTAGCCAAAGGTCAACAAGTGTGTCCACATACATTTAGCCATATAGTGTAGTTAGTATGTATGTGTATGTGATGCTAGGCTATTTTTGTCTTTTTATTGTAATATACATTTTCAATTTTGTTTGTATTGTTGTTTTAGTTTGTGAAGTTTTATAATAGTTTAGTTTTAGCAGATTAGTTTAGTTTCAGTTGATACAGAAGTCTTGTTCTCTAATAATAACAAAGTGTGTGTTCCTGTGCATCTGTGTGAATGTATATTTTTATGTGGTTTGAGTGTCCGCCAACTGTCAGTGTAGCTGCTGCGTGAATTTTATCGTTTGTACAGTATATTTGTATGTGTGTATGTCTTACTCCGTAGGGAAATTAAATGCAAATTAATCTGTTTGGACTTTGTATACTATCTTTATGTTATATGCCAGTGCATCTGTGTGTGAGCACCTCTGTTATTCATTTCCTTTTGTGTGTTTGATTTAACTCCACAGAAACGTTACCAGGCCATGTACAGCTATATGGCTGCAGAAGCAGATGAAGTTTCTCTCCAGGAAGGCGATTTGATCTTAGATGTGGAGCCAATAGACGAGGGCTGGATGTTCGGATGCAACCAGCGCACAGGGCAGCGGGGCATGCTGCCCGCTAACTACATCCGGCCTGTGTGAAACAAAACGGGCGAGGCAGTCCACCTCCAGCATGAACTGCCCTGTGAATCTCCGGTCACCAACAACAATCAGGCTTCCCAAATCACCTTTTGCAAATGAAGAAAAAAAAAAAAAAAAAAAAATACTATTTTTAATAAATTCCCAGACTGGTCATGCTTTCCCTTTGTCAGAAATATACTCCTCAAATCTAAGTTACGACAACCGTTCTTGAAAAATGAGATTAGTCCGAGTGAAATTTCACATAGGAAACATCAATGATACTAAAAGTTGAAGTGAAATGGTATTCTGTCTGTAACAGAAACCCACAAGAGGAAGTAAGTGAGGAAAGCAGAAGGAATAAAATAAAGTATTTTACATGCATCATTTTTCCTCTTTGTATGGTGATTTGTGGAATATACAGCATGTCATATTGTTCATTTAGGGAATAACACCACAGTAATATCAATACCTTTATTCAAAATAAGATTGCACATCAAATCACTATAGAGTAAAAGTTTACTTATTCTAAAGTGGCTGTTTAAAAACAAAATGGCCAAAAACTTACTTACAAAAGGTTTAAGTTAAAACAATGAACTTTAGCAGCACCATGTTTTTTTTGTTTTTTTTTAAATCATTAAACACAAAAACACACTAACCCGACAAAGAATGAAAAATGTTTGGTAATAACACAGAATCTTGTCGCTCTAAAAGTCCTCTTCAAGCTGTAACGACAGGCGTCATAACAGAGAAGAAAGCCACTCGCTTGTCGATTTTGCTGCGTGGCTTTGATGGCAGCCAGTTCAGCTGATTCCCAAACAGCTCCGGGTTTTTTCCTATGAAGTCCTCACACAACCTTGGGAGGAGAGAACAACAACAAGATTGTTCCGGTGCTCTAAAACTACTTTTATAAATACACACTCTAGTGTACAGACCTTAAATGAATAACTGTAGCCCTGCTCTGACAATAACTGATGTATTTTACTTTTCCAGGAAACAAGTGTTGTACCATCATTTGCACGTTTATTGTCCACCTGATGGTTGCCATGTTACTAATCTCCTTGATTTGACTGAGAGGTGTTTTGGACCTCTGGACTGCTTCAAAATTAATCGTTTTAAACTCAAACATAATTTCTGTAAAAACTTTACACAAGTAAACCCTTGACATTAACTTGCATTACAGAAGCCATTGTGTGATGTGTTGTAATGTATTTCAGTAAGTGTTTCAGTTACCCAAAACACCAATAATCTACCTCTAGCCTAGCTACCATTCCCAGAACCCCCCCCCCAAAAAAAAAACAAACAAAAAAAAACAATAGGACTCATCCTCTGTAAACTATGAATATATGTACCAGATTAAATGGCAAAATGTAACCCAAGATGGTGAACCTAGTTAACATTTTGCCTTCTAAACAGCATTCAAGTCTCACAGACTCAGATGTTTGGCTAGCATGGCTGTAGATGCCGCCGCCCCCCTTCGGCTGAATGTAATCTAGACTACCTTCTTGCAATACGTGGGAGATCATATCACAGCGTCTACCATAGGAGCAATTATTTGCTTTGAAAAGAAAGGTTCTGCGAGAAGCAATCTGCAGAGATGAAACCTGAACTCCAATCTGATCACAAAATAAAAATCAACCAAAAAAAAAAAAAAAAAAAAAAAAAACAGTTGGTCAGAAAATAAACTTTTGTATCAAGTGTTCTGAAGTGGTTATAATCTGACCATTTAATATAAACATTCCCCAGCCTATTGCCTACCCATACATATTAACAATGTAAAGCTTATTAGCATAACACCATGTCCATGTTATGTGAACTGGCACACCGGTTCAACAGAGTGAGAGCATAAACATCTCAAAGGGCGGTCTCTGTGGACTTTGTTAAAACTGCTTAATCATGTGTGAATGGAGACAAAAAGCAAACATGCTCTCACATGATGTCAATGTACATAATGTGCAGTGGTAACAACAAATGCATGTGACCAACCCATAAACACAAGGATGAATTCAGGGCAGATGGTTGTATTGTGGAACATAGATACCGGAAATAAACTTGGAAGGTTCAACATACCTGAAGAGGGGGTATGGCTGGGTCTGGAAGAGGAAAACCTCTTTGCAGTGATGTTGGGATGGAGCCCTCAGAATAGCCACCTGATAAGAGGATTGACAATCACATGAGGATGGAATGTGGGTGAAACTGTTTTTTTTAGCATCTATTTCCATATATCCATTCCTCTGGATGGTAATGTCGGCCCGTCCACCACTTGGTCCAGACTAAATCTCTCTACAACCATGATGAATCAGTATGACTTTGGTGATTTTCTTCTAGTATCACCATCGGTCCAATTTTGACCAACACTCTGGTTTATGACGAAGTACCTGAAAACGAATGACATTCCCATCAGCCTCAGCTGCACTTGATGTTGAGCGCTAATTAGCAGATGTTAGCATGCTAACAGGCTAAGCTAAGATTGTGAACATGGCAATCATAACCTCTAAATATCAGCATGTAGCATTTCACACTGCTAGCGTCTCATTAGTACAATTCCTTAAGCAGATTTCAGTGTTTCACAAGGTGGCAACTTTGAACATGCAACCTGGACATTTTCAGAAATCCATTCCTCGTCCTTACACCACATTTTCCAATACAATTGTTTTGTTATACTTTTGAGTCCTTAAACCACTTAAGCTTTCTTTTTTCTAACACGTTTACTTAATCACTGAGCTATAATTGGTTCACCGGATAACTTGCATAAGTTAAAAAAAAATGTTACAGAACAAATGAGGGGTTTAAAGTCATAATGCTGCAATGTTTTACTGACGTGTGCACCATCTTAAAAGGGAACAGATTATGCTGCACAGCATTTTTCTTACTAAGACCTGGCTGTAGTTTTAAAGCTATATTTGAAAGCTTCATTTATGACAACTAAGAGTACAGTTGGGCTAAATCCTGAAGGTTTTCCATCACATACCGAGTCCATGAGGATGCACATGTTGCTGCTTCCCCCGAATACAACAACATCGTTGTCACTTCCAAGACACGCCGTGTGACAAACCCTGAGGAAGGCGAAGACAAGGCGAAGACAACAAAATCACACATTGATTGAACTATGAGGTATGATCACCTGCATCAGGTTAGACAAAGACACTTAACAGTTGAAGAAGCTGTGTTTATTTAAAAAGTGACTTTTATGGTCATATCAACTGATCTCTGGGCGCAAAAACATACAGCAATTTAATGAACTTCAAATTAACTACCTGGGTTTGTCCTGGTGTTGGTGTGTTATCTTGTTCCACTCTCTCTTTTGCACATTAAACTGCCAGGCATCATCTATAGCAGAAAAAAGATTGATGACAAAGTTCAGATTAAACCACAGGGAGCTTCACTTCCACTTGAAAAATGATGTCGTCCTTTGATATTACGGTGCCCTTCAACCTTGGGCACACTAGTCCAAGGCAGATGAGGAGGATTATAATCTGCAGATAATTTCCTAATAGTTTCAACGTTTAACATCAGGCAGAGCATGGATGGATTACTGAACAGGCCAACCAGGCACCGGCCCCAGGGATAGAGCCTCTGTTTGAAGTAACTTAATATTTCTTGTTGGAAAGTCAAACTGCTACAAAGAAATGCAAAACCACCACAAATTCATAAAATTACGTTGCTGCTTCATTTCTTTGACTTTGTAGTCATTTTGCGACCACACAGTTTTGGGCGCCATTTACATGTCTTTGCCCAGGGGCCCGCTGTCTCATAATGTGTCCACGAGGGAGAGGACTATGCAGCAGCTGATGTGTCCCATGTGTCGAGTTAAATGTAGAAGGATTAGAGATAGAAACGTCTGTGGTCGAGACTTACTAAGAGTTTTTCCATCTGTGCCGAGTCCTCCGTATATGAAGAGTGTGTGATCCGATATGGGCGTCATGGTGAACATAGAGCGCCCCAGAGGCGTACAAGACTGGGAGAGGTCACTGGTGGAGAGGAATACACACGCAGAGCAGAACGCAACAGAGGTTGGTAAGTCGTTGGAAAGAAAATCTGTAGAAATCAACAAAAGGTTACAACTACTGTATGTGTGAAAGAAGTTTTACATTCGAGTCCAGGTCCAGGTTTCCAGGTCCAAGCAGAACATGTCCAACTCTGCAGTTTCCTACAAGCATATAGAAAGTGTTCACTCACATGGTCAGACACACTGCATGGCAAAAAGTATGTAGACACCCAAACATTTCACCCTAAACATCTTTTTACAAAACTATGGGCATTAATGCTACTGTTATAATAGCCTCCACCATTCTGGTTTCAGGTTTTCCACAAGGTTTTGAAGCCTGGCTGCAGGGAGTTGCTCCCCATTCAGCCACAAGAGCATCAGTGATGTTTGGGCGATACGGTCTGGCTCGCAGTCACCTTTCCAGGTCATCCCAAAGGTGCTGGATGGGGCTGAGGTCAGGTCTCTGTGCAGGCCAGTCAAGTTCTTCCGCACCAAACTAAATGAAAACCATTTCTTTAAAGATCTGGACTTTGTCACGTCACAACAGGAAAGGGATGTTGAAACAGGAAAGGGCCTTCCCCAAACTGTTGGTAGCGCACTATTGTCTGAAATATCTTTGTATACTGTCTCATTAAGATTTCCCCTAAATTGGAACTAAACAGGAAAAAAGGAGAAACACGAAAAATAGCTCCAGTCCACAAGTACACAAAATAACATGGACATGGGTGTCCACAAGTTATTTTGGCCATATCCCATATAACCTTAACATACAAGCTTCCCAGTGACGCCAAGCCAACTCACCACGCCACCAGAGATGTAACCTTTGTTCCCCAGAAGGGCACTGGCATGGCAGCCTCTGGGGGCAGGAGCAGGACCCTAGACATAAACACAATATCATATCATTCCTACATAATATGATGGTCATATACAGTGTCTAAGATTTATAATATTAATCCCTCATTGTATTTATGTTGTCCAATAGTAAAAAAAGTACAGCACAAGTGGCCCTAATAATGTCTTAGACATGAATCATGTTGCGTTACTCACCCGAGTCTCTGGCTTGCTCCACGTTTCAGTGTGTGTGTCAAAAACACTGACTTCATTGTTCCAGCCCCAGCACCTAAATAACGTGTTTCCAATTGTTGTCTAAAAGGCAAGATTGGAATATGATCATGAGTACAAAACAAAATAAACTATATTCTAAAGTTTGTACACAGTAACCACACAAGACGCTCAAATGCAGCTGCTGTGGTGATGTATTTTTGGTATCATTTACCCAGGACATCTCTTCCACGATGAAGCTTGTCGATGATGTGTTTCGCACCTCCCCTATGGTTTTACATCCATATCCACCAAAATAGATTAATCTGCACCAAGAAAAAGCAACACGCCATAAATTCATGCGAAACTGAAATTTGTGTGAAAAATCTGACTGAATCCACCGAAGACTGTTCCTTTCTTATTCAATATTTTGCTTGTACCAGTTCTTCAAAAGATCCCTTAACTAGTTTCTAAAATAAAACAAAAAAAACACAAGACATTTTGGAGGTGTTAAAGCAAAATTTCCCTCCTGTAGAGCCGTCAATGTGCATTTAAAATGCAAAATGACCAGTTCTTCTGAGTGAAAAGGGCGCTGCTGGAGGTCTCAGCTGGAGCTCCTTTTCAGCTTGTTAGTATGCGCTGGTCAAGCTGTTCTTCATGGGCAGTTTGTGTCTTGAGGTGTGATTTTCCACAGACGGGACTGACCTGTCTCTGTGTAACCAGCAGGAGTGTTTGTTTCGCGGTGAGGGCGTCGTTCCCTTTGTATCGGTCACGCTCTTCCATGAGTAGCTCTCCTCTGTGAGGTCAACGCTGAACATCTACAAACAGGAGTTAAATTAAATCAGATTTATCAAGGGGCCCATCATGTTTATTGTCAAATGAGACTCCATCCATTGCTGTCAAGGAGCTAAATCATTACGAAGCCAGAGCAGATTTGAGATTTCCCGTTTATCCTCACCACTGTAATTTCTGGACAGACCTCACTGAAAATACTGAGAAGATTTCTTTTCACCTTTAAAGCCATTCTTGTTAACTTCCTGTCTCCCTCTATAAAATGCTGGCGCCTGTTTCAGACAGCTATCAGACCAGATGATCAGAGCTAAATAATCTCTGGCATGAGCTTGGAAGAACTGCATTTTTGTAGTGGAATAATTTACATTACAGATGTCAATTGAAAAGTCCACCTTTAGATAATTAAACATCAGACATTTCAAGTGACTCAGGCCTTTTGAAAAAGAGAAATGTACCTCAAGAGACTTTTTAAAAATGACATTTCTATTCTAAAAAAGGAGAAATTAATTTCAGTCCAAATTCATAAATGTTATTGGCCTTAAACAACTCAGAAGGAAAGTATGTAGAGCTGCTGTGAATGGCCACACTCGAAGGCGTCACCGACAGTAAGGAGATGTAGTAGTCCTTTAAATGTGGGAATAACGCAAATTTTCATACAGTCTCTCCTTGAAGCCATTCAGACTGCAGCCCATGCATAATGGGTAAATAATGAAAACAGTGGGATAAGTGTTTCAAACCCTGGCTCCTTTCTAACCTTTCCATCCTCCTCTCATGCAGGTGGTTTCCGAAAAACACTCTGATGAAGCATACTGGCAAGAGTCTACAGCCACACTCACAGCTCTGTTTATGCACAGCAGTGCTTCCAGCTATATTCAGACTCAGCCGACAATGACATGTACCATGCTGATGTATCCCCACCACCACCATGTTCACCATCTTTTGCTAGTGTGCTAACATTTGCTAAATAGCATTAAACAAAGTACAGGTGTGAATGAGATTGTCATTAGATTTTCAGGTATTTGTTCATAATCCAAATAACTGGACAAATTTTTGATCCGATGATGGCACTGGATTAAAAATGTTTGGGATCACAAAAGTTATTAAGATCATCCCGAGGTGCAAACATGAATGTCTGTATCAAAATGTCATGGCAATCCATCCAATAGTTGTCACGTGGACCAAAGCGCTGGAGACACACACACACACACACACACACACACACACCCCCCAACAGGGCTAAAGAATATTCTAGTAAAGTCATTTCCCAAGTTGCATTACATTTACTCTTTTGGCAGACACTTTTATCCAAAGCGACTTACATTTGAGGTACAACATACAAGCATCAACTACAGGTCTACAACTGACAATACATACTAGTAAGAGCTCACAGTACATATCACATCAATGGGCATTACTGTTTCCCATCCCTGTAGCCAAAAATTACATGTTTCCTTACTTATTTTGTGAAACACAAGAATAACACACCTCTAAATGCCTCACTTTGTATGGAAATAACACCATGGAGAGAAATATAACTTAAGTTTGGGACCGAATGTCTTTCCAGTTACAAACTTTACTTTGATTAGGAAGTTGGGGTCTCAACTTGAGAAACAGGTTAAAAAGCCAGACCAAATATGGACAGTTAAAATAGTTTTTGTAAATGTGTCAGTAGGCTACAGAAGGATGTGTTGTTAAAATGAACTTAGCTTTCAGACAAACACAGCTCTGTCACTGGAATGTAATAGTATATGAGAGGCTCAAACAAGGCCCGGCGACTCACCTGGTTTGTGTACCCAAGTGCGTCGCATCCTGCAAAGATGTAGAGTGTGCCATTAACATGGGAACCACAGGAGCCTGATAACTCTGGGGGTTTGTCTCCAGCAATGTCCCTCCGTTCCCTGTCACACAAAAGGAGAAGGGCGGTAAAAGACAGCTGAACCATACTGAGAGTTGACTTTCAACAAAGCACACACACACACACGGGAACTGTTTGCATCCGACTAAAGTGACTCAACAGAAAACTTCTTTAGATATTTATTTGATAAATACAGACAAATTCTCACTTTAACTGAGCACTCACTATCATTTGTACTATTTTTAAAAGAACTGACTTTATCAAAACAAAAACATGCTCTAGGGCGACGTCCATAGCTTGAATTTCAAGATGACAGTGTCAACAGCCGTCTTTATCTCACCACGTCCCGCTGTCTAAATCACAGAGCCATATCTCATCACTGGGCAACATGATGTCCTCCCCAGCAACTGCCTGTGAGGGGGGAAAAAAAAAAAGGAGATAACATCTTGTCCACTGTGTGCTTGAACCCTCATCTGCTGAATAAAGCCACTAAAAACCAACATCACAAACATCGACATATGTCCTGGCTCAGGTTCTGATCTAGTGTTGCACCAATCAGGATGATGTGGTCTTAGAAAGGTTTTCTTGTTCAAACATGTTCATGCATAGAAATGGTCATAGGAGAATCCAGCTCTGTTGCCATTAAGTTGCTTTAGAGAACATTTCTGCATGTTTTCCATTTCAACATTGTTCTACAGGCAACTATACATTAAGTTGCCAGTTAGTCTAAACCAAAGCTAATGCAGTAACACAATTTCTCTGCAATAAATCCTACCTACATTAAGGGTACAGGCCTATGTGTAGATTAATTTAGGTTACTGTATTTAGGTGTTGATTCAACATTGTGGTCATTTTGAAGGCTGTAGCCTATTAGTGGGGAATTGTGTTACATGGATGTGTCTACTATACTAGCATCAATAAAAAGGTAGCCTAGACAAACTATTAGAATATTAGAAACACCTCGGTATAAAGCAAATAACAGCTACATCCTCTAAAATGTCAAAGTTGAATCAACACATTTCTAAAATTATAACCTTAATAAAACGTAGAATTCACCAAATAAACTTTAAACTGAGTGTATGTCAGAACTAAATAAATGTCTTTATTGAAATAAAAAAGAAAAAAGCAATAGGCCTAAATGGTGAATTTCAAATAATCTATTGGAGGAAATGAAGACTTTAAAAGCCGTGTTTAAGCGTCTCATGATGCGGCTCCTCTCAGACACACCTGCGCAGGTAGAAATTGAGTAAATTAAATTAGACGCCGACGTTTCTTACCTGGTAACCTCCCCAAACATACAGTGTGTTGTTGTCTATGAACGCCGTGTGACTGCTCCTCTCCAGCCGGCTCCCCGGGGCGGTTCTCTCAACAGCATCCATCCCAAACCGGGACTCTTTGGTTCTCTGACTGTTGAGCAGAGACTCACCGCTCAAATAAAAACAACTACAATGGTTACCAGAGGGAGGGGGACGCAAACAGGAATGTTGTGGTGGCTCGGGGAACAGAGGTGTTCTGCTGCAGAGAGAAAGGCCGACTGGATTGGTGAGGTTGCGGAACGTGTTTTACAGGATTGCTGTCCTCTTTTACTCCTCCCCCCAGCATGCTTGTTGTTATGCACATTCACGTCCACGGTGAACTCTGAAACTCATTTAACACCTTTTTAGGGTTGCACCTATCTTTAAAATATTAAATTAAATGTGTGCATTTTCATGAACTGAACCCTTATATGTTTTATTTGGACAAGACCTTGTTTAATAATTTGTTGTTTTGCTTTACAATTAAGTTAATCCATATTTTTCTGCACATACTTTTTCACAGTTTACATCTAATAAAATGAAAATATAATCAGACCAATTGGCTCAGAACTGTCAAGTTAAAGAGATAGTGTAGAATAAAATAATGAGTGCATAGCATTTATGTGGCACTCGTTATTAATTTTCCTTTCATGTCTGACATGCTGGCTTAATGACAATGAAGGGAACAATCATTAGGCTATGTGATTAGTTTCAGCTGTGTTTCTTTCCTTTATGACAAGTCCAGCCTGTTCTTCAACACAGTAGACATGCCTGGAGATCACAGGTGTCACTAATAGCGTTAAAGGATAAGTTAAGTCTGTCTAAAAACAACACTCACATGCACTAATGTGCATTAGTAATCACCCCTATGTTGCTGTTCCAGTAAAAATCCGGTATTCAAAATCTTTACTTAAAGTAAAAGTATAATTATCAAAATATAGACTACTAAAAGTAAAAAACGTGCTCATTAATTAGTGATGCATTGGTCTGTAAATTACAGCTGATAGAAGTGGAGCTAATTTTAATAACTTGGTAGCTTAACATACTTGTAGTGGAGTAAAAACATTTCCCTCTTAAATGTAGTGGAGTAGACTTATAAAGTAGTATAAAATGGAAATATTCAAGTAAAGTACAAGTACAGTAAGCTACTTGTATTTAGTTGCAGTCCACCATAGCTCTGTTTATTCTTAAAGCAAAGAGATCCCTTCCTAACACGATTTGATGTGGGGGCAACATCTACAGTCCAGAGTCTGTGTGAAAATATATTCTAGAGTTCAACAGATGTTCATTTTAGGCTTCAGCAGTAGGAGTAAAACAAATAAAAGTAAGTTGAGTTTCTTCAGTCTTTTTAGCATGAAATACCCTCTAGTAAGTGATACAAGGAAGGAATTTTGTACGCAACTAAAAAGCTTGCAACTTTGGACGGCACTTGCTTGATTTATCTTGTTTTAACTTCAAATGAACTTCAGATTTTGTTTCCTGCCTCCTCCATTGGAAGCATGTTAGGAAGAGATCTCTATAAGGCCAGTATGAACGGGAGGCATGATTACAGAAAGCAAATATTGTTTAGATGTACATAGGGGTGCCTGATTATTGTTCTAAGAAAAATGTGAACCTACTCTTTAAGAGTATCAGGTGGGGTTTGAATGGACTGACAAAACATTGAATAAATAATAGTTTAAATGAGACAGTGTGAAACACTGTTGTCTTACTGCATATAGTAGTTTAAGAAGTTATAAGACATTTGGTTGATTTAATAGAGGGAAGACAACTTGGTCCTTCCAGCAGAGAAAGTACACATTGGTAATTTGTAATGGTAATTTATTTTGCATTTTTATTTAAATAATGTTTGTATATATATCTGCTGTAAATCCAATTACTTACCCTCAATTTAAATATATACACGTGTTTTAAGTTTAAGCTCCTATTTGATAAATATAAATATATAGAAAACATACTTAATTTCAATGTCTCTCACCTGGAATGAATAATCACTGTGTATTATGAAGTTTGTTAATCTAGTAGCACTGGCACATTTCAAGCTTTTTTATTAGGAATTTGGTTGGAAGTTATTTTTGTGCAGTTGCTTTAATGTTTTTCCTTGTTTTCCTCATCACTGCTGTATTTGACCATATTTTGTACAATCTATGCTGTTGTTGATTAATACAATAAAATACAATTAACTTAAAATAGCCTCTGAAAAATCAAGTAAAGTTTATAATAAAACTGTTAAATATTAAAGAATGCTCCAAAAAACATTACAGATGCAAATTAATTTTCATTTTCGGCTACTACTAAAGTAGTTTACTGTGTCGATGACAACAGACTCAGGGATTCATTAAACTTCTAAACAACAGTCAGGCTCAGTTTCTCGTGTATATAGTGAAAAAGAAATAACAGCAAACAAGCTGACAACTAAATACATACATAAAATTCAGCCTAGCTGATCGATAATGCAATTGTGCCTAAAACAGAAGAGATTGAAAAAGTAACACACAATGACATTTATTGCATTATGGTCATATATACACTTCAGAAATAATAAATGATATTAAAATAAAACAAAAATACAAACCAGGAATAACCGTACTGCAGTACTCTGTACGTGTATATGTTCTGCGTTTATTAAAATACACTTGATGAGTAAACCTTGTTTATGTTCTCTGTACATTCTAGTTCTATGTTAATTCTGCGAGTTCAACTTTACGTCACAGACAAATATTTAAGAGATGAAAATGAAATTCCTCAAAAAGAAAAATGTCAGCAATGCAGGTTTGTTTGTTAGTTTAGGGGCAGTTCCATGTACTAGAGGATATTACAACTATACATTCTAGTTGAAATATCAAAGTAACAGTCATAGCTTAGTGCAAAAATGCAAAATATGTTTTGACTTCAGGATCGCCATGAAATCCAATAATTTCCCCCAAAATCTTAAATTGCAACAAGGTTTTGTTTCTGCCACACATTTGTGATTCATCTATTTCAGCAACTTTATAAATTACGCCAGTATGTCACAAGCCAAATGACAAATGTTTGATCAAAAACATTTTTTAAAATCTCCCTTTTGAACTTTTTGGATTACAGAGCTGTATTTTAAATCACATATGTCAACAGCTGTTTATAAGTTTTATAAACTTGAGTTAGTATACGAGAGAGAGAAACATTCCACAAAGTGATTGCACTTGGTGACTGAATTTTACCTTCAAACAAAATCAATATCTATTACAGCAATGTAATTCTATCTTATGGTTGTAGAAAATAAAAAAGCAAACAGCCTATGTGGTGATTTCTGGCCCTGAATTAAAGACGCACCAAGAGGAAAATTAAAAAGAAGGCACAATCAAAAATCGGTTAATTAGAACATCACAAGTGCTGTTTGATATTTTGCATGTATCGTACCCACTCTCTATTATGTTTATTAAATACGCGACTTTTTGCATCTGAGATAATGCAGAATGTACTGTGGAGCATTTCTGGTAAACATGATGGTCAAGAACATCTTATTCCACACAATAAAAGATAAACAAAGTATACACCCATAATGTAAAAATGTGTTGGATACAATTCTTGGCTGCAACCTTCCCGGCTGTCCAGTCCTTTTTTTTAATGTCGTGGCTGAATCTGAATTCAGAGAGGTATTAAAGTCACTGGTCAGTAACATTAGGCTGCATTTTGTCAGCATCATGAGGCCCAAATTGCCTCAAAATTTGTGCAAGAGAGCGTAGCTACTGTAGCGCTGCGGCTCTTAAACCTTCCTGTTCGGTTTAAGGTCAGTTACAAATCACACCCGTAATTGCACTTGCGGTTCATGTACAAGTTCTATTCTGTTTTCTCTTCAGCCACTGACTTCTAGCTTCCTGAATGAAATGTGGCCTGTTAGACGGGCTGCGCTCAGTCCAGCAGATCCCTCTCCAGGTATTTCTTCATTCGCTGACAGCGAGGACAGGATATCCCAGGATCCTTGCAGGCAAGGTGAAACACAGCCTTACAATCTTTACACCTGGGTCAGAGACAAACAATAAGCATTAAAACAACATGTGACTGCAGTGAGTTACTCTTTGACATAATGAACTAAGAGATAAAATGTATGATTGAAAACCTCTGTTCACTTTGTTGTCTGTGTAGCGGTTTGATTTTAATATGGCATGGAAAAGGTATTTATTCAATTCTTAAAAACTAAATAATTGTCCTTTAAACAAATGTTTTTAATTTAATTATGACACAGTAAAGAAATCAAAAGAATTAGTAAAATTAAGATTATTGTTTTTCACAATGTTTTGCTTAATTTGTTTTTATTTAGGCATTTAAAATTTATCCCTATAAAAATTGTATTTTAATACCAAGCCCTATAATGGCAAACTGCAGCTTAGTCTCAGTCTATAAAACACAATGTCAAACTTTTGTTTCCAGACACATGTTTATAGTCTGAGGCTTATTTTTATCCTTCATTTACACTTGATGTGAGCAGGAGGTGCTTTAAATTAACCAAGATTTCCTGGAAATACTGGTGGCCGAACTACAAGCTGGGAAAAAACAGAACTAGACAAAGAAGTGGAAGAAAAATGCAGCTTTTCAACAAGGCAACACAACCAGCAGAGATATTTCAGACCAATAAGACAGTTGGAGCTGGTGTGAGGGGGGGAAAAAAAGTTCAGATCATTTGGCCACCTTTTGGAGCCCAAAGGCTCTTTTTTCCACTCAACAGAGTCCTTTTTCATAAACTAGGCTTTTAGGTTGACTCTTGACTTAAAAGAAATACTACAGATGATAAAAATGAAGTGTGGTGAAAGCAGGAGTGAGGACGCCAAGGGCAACATACCTGGTGGTGATGTCAAACTGGAAGGGGAAGATGATGTCATTAGCGTGGCATATCTGACAAAAGAAGCCACGCTGAGTGCACAGGTCGCATTGGAACACGTGGTTGGAGGCGTGCTGCATCAGTTTGAGCAGGTAAGCTGCATATTCGCCCTCTGCTATCTAGAAAAACAAACAAACACATGTATTAAGATGTCTGAAGGTGGCACATGACTGGTGCAATAACATGAACTACACAGCAGCATACCTGTCGTAGGTCCTTGACACTGTACAGATGGCTCGACTCCAACAGGTACGTTCGCTGCTCCATTCTGGCAAAGAATTTTAATAAAAACGTATATAATAAAATGTTACAGTAAAATATGGTCAAATGTAAATAACACATGCATACACACACCTCTCTTGGAGTTTCTTGCAGGCTCCACTGCGGCAGGTGAGGAGGTA